AATCATGAAGCATAAAAATTAAAACGTACCTAATCTAGAATGAAAAAAAGTCCATGAAGAATGATAGTATTCGTTTGGGATTTTGCGTGACAATTGAATACATTGAGATTTGAGACCTTTTAAAATTTTCAAATTTATGAAGAATCTTATGAAAATCTTATGAATTTGGAGTAAGATTTCTTATGTGTATTGTATTGTTATGTGTATTGTTTGAGCAAATTTTAAAAGGTTGTAACAAATCTCAATCTCAGATAAGTTAAAATACTTTAAATGTCTTCAAAAAGTCCAAGTTAAACAATACTCTAAAGAATAATGCTCCCCTACTCACGGTGGACACATTTTAAAACATCCACCGCTTATGTGACACACACACATTGGTGATGTATTTTTTTGAACATATTAACATCACCAATGTTGCATGCCACATAAACGTGGACATATACCGTGGGTAGGTGAGCCTTATTGATACTCTAAAATCTTAAAAGTCTTTAAAATTCCCAAACAAATACGAACACCCCCAGAGATAGGGTAGCCTCTATCAGTTAGAGGCAAGGCTGGGGAAGAACCACATAGGCGCTGGGAAAATCTTCTCGAGTCTCCGGACCTCGACTGGATAATAGCACGGTGACACTGTCTTCTTCTCGTAATCAAAAATGCCAATGTCGTTGCCGTTGACCAGTTCAACATCCTTAAACACCTCGATGCCGTGCATATTCGTGAAGTAAATGGTGTTGGGCCTGATCCCGGGCAGCTGGGCCGCAGGCAATGCAACCGCGTGGCAAAAGGCCCCCACAAAGAGAGCCCAATTCCCGAGCGAGAAGCACCTCACCAGATCCCCACCTTTCGGGTCATATCTATCCACATCAAAATCAATAGTAAGGAAGTAGGGGATCGGCTTTAATTTTATCTGTCCATAGTCCATAGAGTCGACCCAACACAGGCCCTCCAAGTCCACCACGTCAGCCCTGTGTGGAGTCACAAAGAGGATGTCCCGGCCCATGACGGCCAGCCGGGTCGTGCCCTTGGGCTCCCACTGAGGAGACCCGCGCAGACTCAAGTCATGAGCAACCCTAGTTGAAGCAGGGGAACACGGGTCCTGCAGGTCCCAACACTCCAAGTTAAAGTATTGTGTGAAGGCAAAGAAGAGCCCGTGGCCCGGGGAGTAGACGCAGTCAATGTAGCTGCCACACGGATTCATCCCGTCGTCCGGGCCCAACGGTTCACCCATTGGAATCCACGTGTTGTTGGGCCGGGCCGGGCAGCAGAAGGCCATCATTCCGAACAGCTTGTAGATAATCATGGCCCTGCAGGCCTCGTCGTCCGGGGAGGAGGAGAGGATGATCTTAGCCACGCTACTCGATACTACATCCGAGTGGAGGTTGTAATTGGGGAGGTCGTTAAATGGGGGAAGCTTTATGTGGCGGCGGGATATGGGGTTGTAGAGGAACATATCGTGGGTGTTGGGGTTCCAAAGCCCGACCCAGCCGTGGGAAGAGCCCGTGAAGAACATGACATCGCCGCAGCTGGCGGTTAATTCTCGAGCCGCCCCTTCGCAGGTTAGGGTTACGACCCTCTTCTCGCCCAGGCTGTAGAATTTGTAAGCCGCGGTGGTGGAATCGGATTCCAAGACGGGGGGGAGCATCAGCCAAGGATATGTCAGGGAAGATGAGGGTGGAGTTTGCGCCGTCCGGCCAGTGCTCATCGGACGGGAATGTAAGGGCTTCCATTTCCCGATAATCCGACAGCCGGGGAACGCTTTCCGGCGAATCGTACGGGCCACGAGTAGTGAAGAAGCCATCGATGGTTGGTTGCTACGCGCTGTCGTCTCCATTGAGCCATTAGAGAAGCACAAATTGGATAGATGTGTGACGGCGGCCATCCCTTTTTCTCGCTTGAAACGTGGTAGGATGTTTGAGACATTTTATAGGCCATCTCAAAGCTATTATCTCTAATGTGAACTAGAGTAGTCTCTACATTTTACTCTACATTAAATATATTATTTTTTTATTTATTTTTTATTTCAAATAAATTTGTATATATGTATATTTATTCTCATATAAAATATTAATTACTCAAATAATAAAAATATATTAGTACAACGCCCGTGTATTACACGAGTGCTAACTAATTTTTCTTTAAAGTCTTAAATTTTGAAAAATGGTAGTTAGAAATTTAAGTACCTTTTAAAAATGTTAATATTATTATATTTAGTATGACAATTTTTATTTGTGCGACTTACCTGTGTTATATTATAATAATTTTTAACTTACAACATATAACTACATTAAACATAAATATATCAATTGAGAAATAATTTTATTTTTATAATGAATTTTAGTAAATATTATTATTTTTTATTATTATAAAAATACATATATTTTTTTATTTTATATATACAATATGAATGTCAAATCGAAGATGATGATTAATTTAATATATTATAAATGCAAAACCGATAAGAAATACAAAAGTTATCAATTTTTAAAATTCATTTACAATTCAAAAGCTAATTGTAGAAAACAAATCAAAAGTCAGGGATATATTAGTCACATAGTGACTCACTATCTAAAATTAAAAATAATTAAAGGGTTATATTAGTAAAATTGATATTAAAATACTTAAGTTAGCTAAATAATATTTATGTAATGTCCGAACCTAGATTATTAATTATTAATATATAATATTATTTATCCAAACCTAACTACGAAACATGATTCTTCGTCAAGTAGGATTCTGAAGCACTAGAAGCAGCCACGTAGGCTCAGTGCATTCGAGAATTATATATAGGGAGGATTTTATTTATTTTTATTTAACATAATTTACTACAATCATTTTCCAAAATGTGAATATATGCTCTAAACCATATACGGTCTAGACTGTAAATATGCATTAAATAAAAAGTACAAAATTATAAAAACTTGTTTGAGTGTGTTAAATTTTTATTCATATGGTATCATTTTAATATTAAAAAATTACAAAATAAAATTATAATACATCAATAAATAAAAAACACAAAGTTATTTAGTATAAAAAATACATTGCACAAATTATTTAACATAAAAAGTACATTTACTAATACACACATACAAAAATTTACCAATAATAATACAAAAAAAAAAAAAAAAAAAAAAATTATAGCGCTGATGAGAAATGTTGTGCCACATGTGGCACAACACTGTTCATCTCTCTCAACTGGCGTTAAAATGTGGCGCTGCATTGGAGAAGAATATTGACACAACTCTGGTCATATACTCTACTCCAACGCATGGTTGGAGCTGGTCTAAAGAGGCTAGTTTTCTGGGTAAGTTATTTATTTAAAAAATATAAAAATTAAGTAGACAAAAAAAAATATGTCGACCAATTTCAAACACATGTACTATCGAATACGTACTTTTTTTTTTAAATAATTAGAAAAACGTATTCCAATACTACGTTTTATATTTATTTTTGTAAATTGAAAAAAAATCCATTAATATTCTAATATTAAAACAATAATAAATAAATAATAAATATTAAACGTAATATGTATAATACGTTTTTTAAAACCCTAAAAAACGTTTTAAAAATAATATTTATATTTTCTAGTTCTTAATTTATATTTTCAAAATCCGTTTTTAGTAAAACGGATTGCTGGAATACGTTTTATGTAAAAAAAATCCAGAAAATGTGGATGCAATTTCTTTCTTCTCCCCGATACCGAAATATGTCCGACAGACAACGGGCACAATTGACGAGCCATACCGGAAGTGAACGGGAAGCTCGGTTTGAGGGTCGCCCGATACCGAAATCAATCGGCTTCGCCTTCGGCGGCGGGCGAAATGGTCGAGCCATCCCCGGCCGACGGGCGACGGACGCAATTGACGAGCCATACCTGAGGTGAAGGTGTTGCTTGTCTGTAGAAATTATTTCAATTTTTCACCCTAACTTAGTTTTGTTTTAGTTTGTTCTACTCTTCAAATTTTAAGAGCATGAATTCATAACTTTTGATTATTCCTTTTAATGTGAAAAATAGTCTTATCCAAGAATTTGATTTTACAGAAAAGTGAGCATTCATGTCTTATGAAATTGATCTTCTGCAGGCCACTCTTTCTATGCTTTTGGCACTGCTCTTGTGTTTTGACCATAGGAAAATTCGGGACACTTCAAGTGTCTTGGACTTTCAATCTTCAAAGGTGTCCCCTGTAATTTGATATGAACTTTTTGAAGAAATGGCTAAACAAGAAATTATAGTATCAGACATAAAACCCATAATTTTTTAAGGTTAGTAGAGTTCATTTTTATCAGCTCAAGTTATTTCAGGAATAAAAAAACCATCCACTAAATTGAGTGTCAAATGAATTTCTTATTCTTTTCTGCATTTTGTGTTGCTGGTCATGCTACATTTTAACTACAGAGATGCCTTAGTTGAAGATGACCTGATAGCCTCCAGCTCTTGTTCATCTCCTTTGATTACTGACACATTGACTGCAAAGTTACCTGTAGCAGCCGATCATTATGATTTTGGATGAAAAATGAGCTGCGGGAAAGAGGTGCAATCGACGTTAATGAAAAGATCCATCTGACAGAAGTATGAGAGCTTGCCCATAAAAGAGATCCTTAAGATGTGAAAATAAGAGATCCTTAAGATGTGAAAAATATTCTTGCAAAATGGTTATGCTTCAACTGAACATCTCCATTTTGGTTTTAATATAAATATACAAAGTTGGAGTTCGCTAATATAAATATTTTTCGCCACATTGTTTATACAACATTAATTCACTTGTTCAAACAAAATCAAAGTTGGAATGCTGCTGACATAAGTATTTTTGGCCACATTGTTAATACAACATTAATTCACTGCTATTGGTCAATAGTGAATGGATTTAACTGCATCCATGCATCCATGAAAGATATTATGAGAGATTCATCTTTTTGTATTCCATCTGCGCCGCAAATACCGTTACTAACAATCATCGTCTGCTTTAGGGCCAAAAGAGCTTCACTCACATATGTTCTCGGGCTTAATACACACGTTCTCGGGCAAGCATAATCCCTCCAGCTAATAGCCATCCCCGTTTTCTCATAATAGGCGGCATCTTGAATCTCGACAAATTAAACCTTTTGCCGCTGCAAATTGAAGCCATGCCCAATGATGAGTTCATTGCCAATATCACCAGCCACTTTTCTATCAGAAGAGTCAGAGAAATTAAACATAGCACCCAAAAGAAGCAATAGTTGCCAGGATACAAATTAGCAATATGACACTACAAATGCAATAACATTGAAGCCATTTAAACATAAAAATAGAGCTCAACACAACACGCATGAACTAACCAATACCACACACAATCAGTAAGTACATGATATCCAAAAATAAACATTAAACTGGTGACATCATCATCAACATCAACATACCCAGTATATTCCCAAACAGGTTGGAGTCTGTGAGGTCAGTTGTACGCAGACCTTACCCTTGTAATTCTACAAGGAGGCTGTTTCCATAGCGACCCAAGGTGCGTTGTGTCGTTTGATATATTTTTTTTTTTCTAGAAACTTCACTATTAGAAGAAACACTAAAATTTAACTGAACCATTTTGATCTAGTCCATTATTTGCACGATGCCAGAAGAATTGTCACATTGAGTCTTCCAGCTCCATTTGCAATGGAACGTTAAAAAAAAATCCAACCAAATTAAAATTAAAAAAAATAAGTCAAATAAATAAATAATAAAATATTCACTTCTAAGTTCCATGAGAGAAAAAAAAAACAAAAACTAATAGTTCGATCAATCATGCACAAAATCAGTGTATTAATCGTCTTGGGTGTTCTGAAAAGAAAATTCCGAATGATACGGCTCGTCAACTAGTTTTGACCTGCAAAAATAAATAACTCGTGTTAGTTTAGAGGATTAAGAATATGTGCAGTAGAAATAAATGAGTAAAATGTCATACTTAGAATGTAGATCAGGGCATGTTCGCATATCATGACCACTTTGACTACAAACACTGCAATGTCTGCTACTTTTCGCCATGGATTTCTTTCTCCTGACTTGAGTCGATTACCACATCCTTTAGCCGGAACAGGGTGCGGATCTTGGATGGCCTCTATAATTCCATCATTTTTATTCTTATTTATTTGCCCTGCAATATTGTTCACACCGTTGACGTCTTTTGCCATTAAAAAATCACTACGAGCCTCAGTTAAAGAGCAGTCATCAACTAATTTCATTGCAATATGAGTTAACGCCGCACGCCTTGAGATTATAGACTGCCCTAGTTTGAGTTTTGGTGCGACCTCACATGTTACACTAGATTTAACCTTTTTGGTCCATCTCGGGAGAATATACTTGTCAGCAGCAACAGGCAGCAACATGACCTGTTTAACTTTCATCCAACAAAGCATATGGCGGCACAGATACCCCTCAAACTCAAAATGTCTGCAACTACATGATATTAAATCAGACGAAATATCATACACTAACTCGTTCTCGATTAAATGCCTTTTCTGACTCAAATCGCTTAACTTTTTGTACGAGAGTAGTGTCAGTGCTTGAAACCACGGTACAAACATAGGCTGCACTTTGTTGCAACTCCCTTTGAAATAGCAAAAATAGTGTCTTTGTATAAATTGAGGCCATTTCTTGTTCCATTAAAAATGCCGTAACCATTTGAGGCCCTTCACTGAGATCGATATGATTTGCAACTAACTCTTCATGTCTTTGGTGATGTAGCTCCCTGTTAAAGCGTGTAATAAAATCCAACAAGGAGTTTTTGTGATTTACATATCGCTTAAAAAAATGAATGATTGCTCTCCACTCTCTGGCTGCTTGAATATCCCTTTTGTGGTTCCTAATGTCTTTCTCTAGGCAACCAATCACTGATGGCCCACCAGCTTCTATCTCAAACAATCTCACCTGTTGGCTAATTGGAATATTAGCTTCTGAGAATTGTTGAACCAAAGCTTTCTTAGTTGTTGAGACAATCCTATGTGACGGTAGCAAGTGGACTTTGTTAGGAGTCGTAAGGGGATGATTATGTTGCTCGATAAAACAACTAACGATCCACATGCCATCATCCTGGGATTTTTTCACGCTCATTTTAGCTTGACAGCCGCATCGAGTATGCCCACGCTTCCTTCCCCTAGATTCGGTCGCGATTTTTTTCTTCTTAGTCTGCCAAGTTTCATCGGTCTTCCCTTCTTTATTACACGAATACATCTTCCAAACCTCCTCATTCGTTTCTTTACTCTTCTTATTATTGGCAATTCGCACACTAAATCCTGCTTGCTTGGCATAATTATTATAAAAGTTGTAGGCTTCCTCAAGTGATTGAAACACTTGACCAACTTTTGGTGTCGCACCAATAGTGACTTTCGGAACTAATGATGTTTCGTCTTGCTCTACGTCCATCCCTACAATAAGAGTGTTCACTCCACACCCCTAAAGACACCTTTGCTCCCCTTTGATCATGGAGCTAAAAACCTACATTATTATTAAAAAAAAAAATTAAAAATAAACAAAGGATTCGATAGCCTACTATTCTAAATATGCCGATAAATCCATACCCAACAAAAATTACACTATCGCAAGCATTTTCTGGAGATCCATGCGAAAGCCCATCCTCATCAACCTCCTCGACTCCATGCCCACATTCTGAGTCATCATAACCGGTACTTTTCACAACACAAAGTTTCGCACGATCCACCTCCGGGCCCACGTGATACACCTGTTCTTCCCCACCATCGTTATGGTTAGAGGCCAAAGGATACAAATGGGACTGTGTATGAAATCTAGGGGTATAAAGGTCATCCAAGTCTTCTTTCCGCCTTCGTTTGCCTGTGGTCCGCCTCCTGACCCTTTCCTTCCCTCGACTTTTCTTTCCGATTTTGTCCTCAGAGTTGGTCAGGAGAAGGGCCGAGGACCCGGCATGGTCCCGTAGGCACTCATGCGCAATATAACGGATTCTTGTCACGGATTGTATTTGCTGGTCCTCATTCCGTGTGTGGAGAGTGTATCAGCTATTTCGGCAATGTCCCTCAATGCAGCAGTCTAAGATAACACAAAACATTTAGGGATAAAAAAATACGGTTATAAATGCGCCAGGAATGATCAGCACAAAAAGATGTGTTTTTTAATCGTATCCACGGGTTTTTACAGATAAGAAATACAACCAAACAAACAAACAATTACTTAAAATTATATTCCATCTTGCATATTCACCCTCCAGAAATTCTATGGAGACATCGGATGCTTTTCTTATGTCATCCATCACTTAATATAGACACATGTCCTATAGACACCTGTCCAACGTGTATTTATTGTAGAACACGTGCCAATACATTATTTTTAAATAAATGTGGATGGATCCATAAGTCGTGTCATCCAATGACTCCATAGCGAAACTGATCACCCTCTAAAAGCAGAAACACATTTCGCAAAAACACATTTCAAAGCACCAATTGAAAATGTAAGACATCAAACCTCAATGCATTTTACTTTATCCTTTTTTAATATTGAATATATCACTATTGAATTTTTCTAATTAGTCCAAAATCCAAATCTCAGGGGAAATTTTTATATTTATCCAACACGAACAGATACCCCAATTTTTTACCCTATTTGCAAGAACACAGTTATTTCTCAACGTTACATATACTTCCTTAAATTGTTACAAGAACGTGAAGCAACTTATTGATGTGATACTAATTCAACAAGAAATACCACTTCCCCTGGGTACAATTTGTAGAAGAGATACTAATTTCAACCGGGATTTTAAAATCCTGAATGATCAAAACCACAATTATGCTTATTTAATCTCATTTGGGAAAAAAAATTTTTGCAAAGGCTCACCATTCTTTGAAACTAGGACGAAATAGGAATAGGCCTCCCCACCAACCTTCGTGTAATTCTCAAGTACCAGCTCATAAAACTCACCCTCATCCAAATCTTCCTCAGCCTTAACAATATGAAAATGACGATTAGCCCACTCACTGAGCTCGGTCTCCATTTTCCCGGACAAATCTACCCCTCCATCTTCAACACTCAACAAGCATAATCAAAATCAAAACAGAAAAGTTCCAAACTTTACATAATTGGTTCGCAATAAAAAAAAAGAAAAAAAAANNNNAAAAAAAAAAAAAGAAAAAACGAATGATAAACCATGTAATGCATGTACCTCCACCTTCCAACTGGATCCAAGCAAAATAAAAAAATTCCCAATTGAAATGAGAATTTAAGTTAATAATTCATCACAATAACAAACCAAATTGTATAACAAATCGAATTTTTCCACAGATTAGAAACAGGAAAATGCCTCTCACGCCCTAAAATAAAAAGAAAGATAAGACCAATTGAAACTCCTAGAGCGACCTTGGATCCCAAATACCACCGTGAAAAGAATACTGGCGATCACTACTACCCTCGTCACCGGCGCATTATCTGTAAAACGACAACAATTTTTCAAAAACCTCAAATTCTCCATAACCATAACACAGCTTTTCAAACTTAGAAATCGGAGCTTACTGAAACCAGATGGGCCGCCGTTCATCTTCCAGGCGAACCAACCACTTCGCCTGTGGCTTGTATCGATGTATGTGTATATGAATGAATCGATTGTATCCGATATCTATTTGTATTTTCTCTCTCTAATTCGCCTCGCTCACTCTCTCTCTCTCTCTTCTGCAGCTCCTTTTGGGCTTTGCTCTATCGAGTCGTCGCGAGCGACTCCAAGTTTGATAGGCGGGTTCGGGCCGACCCGCTTTTAGCCTTTTAACCATTGTTGCGTAGTGACGGGTAATTGGTCACTGACTGGAAAGGAATGAAAGACATTTACATTCTAAATCGTGCATCTGTTGTGTATTTATGAAAACAAATCAAAATTATGAAACATCTCACATTTTTTTTTTATATTCAATGTTTATTTTGAAGGAAGGAGCTGTAATGTTCAAAATTGAACCTTTTTTATGTTGTTTTTTGTATGGTACACGCCATGGGTCTGTGTCCATTGTCGGGACGACGCTGAGAAGAAGCATCGGAAACCCAAGAAGTGGCAGTTTAGGCACAGCTGGAATCTGTCGCTGCACTACGATGAGCACCATGCCAAGCTGAAGAAGAAAAAACACGCAAGAAGTGCAACAACTACTTTCAGAACCCACAAAGTGTTAGCTCGATCATGACTCTGACTGCCCAGTACCAGGATCCTTGCCGTACATGTTTCGGTTTCCCTTCCAGTAATGCCTAATAACTAAGTTAAAAACTTGAATTCTATCTTTATCTTTTTTTGCTGAGTATCACAACATTGGGAAAGTAACTACCCTATTAAATTAAATAGTAATTAAACAATAATAAACATACCGTCTCCGCCGTTGTTGGAAGCCCCGCCTTTCTTGGAAGCCGCGCAGATAGCTGGAGTCGGTGACGAGTCTGAAGTTAGGGCTTATTTAGAACTTAATATATCAGTATTTTAAACCGGTTAAGATATATACATGCGGCGCCGGCGGTCACGCCGGTGAAGACTCGCCCTGAAGTCTTGAACAGAGATTAGACACAAATATAGATATTTTTTTTCATAAAACTGAATTTTGATGATTACAAGCTGAGCTATCTAGTGTTCATGAATTTGCAGCCATGTGAGTGGATCATATACAAGCTGAGCTATCTAGTGTTTATGAATTTTCAGCCCTGTGAGTGGATCATAGTTACCACAAGCTGAAAAATCATCAGTTTTTCTTACAAACACCACTCATTCGGACGCACTCTTTAAGGTTTCCACACAGAAAATAACATGAAATAAAGCACTTCTGACAAATCCATCTATACTGCAAAACCCCGCGGTCTCTATTTATCTACTTAAGCACTAAAAAACTACAACCTAAATCACCATCGAATCTCATCATTCAAATACCCCACCCAGAGAAAATAGAATATAGGCAGTGAACGGTAAAGAAAAAAGTAGCTATTTTTAAAATCAAACATATAAATAAGACCTAATAGCTGGTAGAATGTAAACATAGCTGCACGAATCAAAATCAAAAACAGATCTAGATTCAAACAACTCGAGCAAATCGCGAACAAATTACGAAAATATTGTAAAATGAGAGGTCTTCTTAACAGACCTATGAAGAAGAAAAAAAAATTGTAGATCTTCAGATCTATGAAGAAAAAAAAAATTGTAGATCTTAACAGTTCTATTGAAAAAAAAAAGTTTGATTATCGGCAAGAAAATTGAATAAGGATCTTTTTTGGATGATTAAAAAAACTCTCATTATTTTGTGCCCGGGCTGGGCTATTTATACTCAAACAACTAGAAGGCTACGGCTGTGCACAGCACAACCGGCCCAAGTTAGGTAGACATTCGATGTATATGAAACTGTGCAGAGTTAAATATAGTAAGGGCATAGCCATTATACCAGCTAAATATAAGACCATAACATGTGCATATTAAGAAGTCATAGTAGCATGTAGACAACACAAAATACACCAAGTTTTCATTAGAATTCAAAAGCATCTATATGTAAATAGATGTTTGGAATTCTAGGAACCATAAGTGTAAAACACAAAAGTTTAGTTAGGTGAATATATGTAGCTCATAAAATGCATAAATAAAGGAAATAATAAATTTTACGATTTTGCAACAGTAATGTGTTTTAAACTCAAAAAGGACGGCAAATTGTCAAAGTTATCTCTTTTCAATATGTTTGACATTTTTTAGTACACACGCAAGTGTAAAAATAGTACTGACAAAAACATAACTGCCTTAGTTGGGGCTTGTAACTGATATAAGACTTTGACATGCGATGATGAAGATACAATTGAAACAAGAGATCCGTATTTTGCCAAGAGACTCTGCAAGGACTAAATTTCAAGCTAACTCAAACATAACAAAAACTTGACATGTAAGCACAAGCATATCAATAATGTCCCACGCTGATAATCCAAAATAAAAAACTGAGCTATTTTCTTTCCTTCCTTTTTCTTTAGCTTTTCCCCCAAGAACCTCAATGCATCTAATAATAAAATGGACAGTATATAGAACAAAATGATCTAGTTCCAAATTGAAGATAGCCAACAATCTCACCTTAGCCTAAATCATTCAAGAGCCACACAGTTCGAGCCCCAAAAAGAAGAACATGAAAAAAAACACTATTTAGCAATATAAGAATATGAAGTAGAAAGATATGCCAAATGACTCACAAAAGTTACCTAATCAAACTTCTTTTCTGGTTGTCTATATGTTAGAACATCGATAGGCGATTAAAATAGAATCCACCTCTTGAAACAATCACACAATCAAATACAGAGCTAGCTTCATCATAGAAATGCAATTCAAGAGAATATCAAACCTGTAAAGGCAGCCTTAGTAGGAACATGGAAAGTAATAAGTGTCATTAGACATATTATGCATCGCATGCGAAATAAATACAATCAGGAAACCAATGAACAAAAAGGAATGATCTTAATATTGCATTTTCTTGACTCTTGACGATTGCTTTGTGTAGACTAAATCTCACGGGGGTATAATTAATATGGATGTCATTGTTGATAAGCAAGTAACCAATATTACTGGAACTAATTTATGCAAAAAGTGAGTCTGCAGCACGCCAAATAGAAAATAAGAAAAATAGTGCATATAATGGAACCAACATAATAAACAAAGTTGTTCAGAAGAAAAATAGTTATATTCTAATGATATTGATATACATCTTCAGCTTCTTAACCAAAACATTAAAACGACGTGATATAAGACATGCTTAGAATGGTTTTAAAGTGGGGAAAAAAATAAATGCAAGCATGATATGCATGAAGAGCATGTCCTTTGAACTAAGGAACCAACACTTGAAGCAAATGGGAAAATACTTAAAAATTGTTGATTATACCCTTAAACTGACAGTCTATGTCGACAGATAGCTTACACTACACATGAAGAGGATACTGGACTTGAAAATATATGTTTGCCAAATGCCATCAAATTGGTCTCACTCAGTCTAGAAGTAACGTTCCCGAAGTTGGAGATGTTATTTTCCCAAAAATGCAGAAATGAAAAAAAAAACATAAAAAAAAAATATCAGCTTGCTAAAACCCAACCGAAAAGAAAAACAAAATTGCAATGTTATATTAGACAGGTACAAAAATAATAATTTAGTGTAAAAAGAAATGCAAACACCATGTGCAACAAAAGTGTGTGCAACTGACCAAGTAAACCAACACACTGGAAGCAAATGGTGAAAAAAAAGATTAAATTAATTTGAAGCAAATGGTGAAAAAAAGATTAAATTTATTAATTAAATCCTTAAACTAAATCCTGACAGTCTATGTCAACTAATGGCTTAATCTATCAGATGCGCCACAACACAACCTAGACATGAATATTTTAAATCAATCGTGGTAAGAGTAAGAACTAACATACCTGGAATCGGAGTTATTATTTCCAAACAAATTCAGAGACAAAATCCAAACGGATATTATACAAATATAAAAATGTTAGCAATTAATGACTCCGACAAAAACCAATTCTCCCCTACTGCTATGCATGGCTCTTTGCGAAAATTTTTGACAACCGTACATCTAATCGATTTAAGAAGAAGCGCAAAAGTATTAAGTAGGTAGAAAAAAAATGGAAAAGGTTACCTGAATGAAAGTAGTGTTCTTGTAACCAAAAGAAAAAAATGAAGGGTTCTTCACAGGTCACCTCGATGGCTCAATTGAAGTAGTAATTTTGTCAACGAAAGAAAAAAATGGAAGTGTTCTTCACAGGTCACCGACAGTTGTTAAAAGAGAGAGAGAGAGAGAGAGAGAGAGAGAGAGAGAGAGATAAGATTAACTAACGCTAATAATTCGCTAATAATCCAACAGTTGACAACATCAAAGTCTTTGACCAAGGAATGTTTCACCATCTACCAAAAAGGTGGATTTCAAATTCAAAAGTCCAAATCCACACACATGTTTGCATGACATCGCCCTATAAATCCAATGGATTCTAACAATGTTTTTTTAGGGATTTCAACTGATTCCTCAAAACTTAGTTATTTGAAATATGCTTTTCATCCCAGCACTGCGGCGACCACGCCTCCCTCAAGTATAGCAAATTCAAAGTTCAATGAGTTTCAAATCTATTCATTTGAAATCCCTTCAAGTACCTTAATCCAAAAATGCAATACGCTTTGGTATTTACAAATATCAATATACAACACTGCAACCCGCCACAGCTCGAAAAATAACACACTAAAAAAAAAAAAAGTTTACCTGGTAAGTAGGGAGCACATCTCCTTTGTTAGATTGGAATTCGAGTAGACTTTTCCTCATAAATCCTGTCTAAACAACAACGCACATTCATGCGTGAACCCTCGAAAGATAACAACATTCAAAACCAAATATCACCTGAGCCTCTACACACTTCAAATTCAGGACAGTGGACCCTTCCTTTGAGAGTTGTCCAAGCTCCTAACCGCCCCCGAGCTAATGGAACGCGATACCTGAGCTTCCTAAAACAAAAACATCATTTACATCAATTTGGGAATACAGTCTTGGCATATGTCAAGTACTAAACAG